TATATTTATATATTCTGGTGTCTTCTTTAGCAGAAATATTAGCTTTCAGAGGTTTATACTCTTTTTTTTGCTTTCCTTTTATATGTGTTAGAATCTCTTATATATAATTTATCTCTTAACCTCATACTCTAAGATAGTCAGTTACTTTTGTGCAGTACAGGCATAGACATGCTGCAGCTACTGTAGGTTCAAGAATTTATATATTTGGGGGAATTCAGAATGATATAACATTCTCATCACTGTATGTCATCGACACACAAAACTTTGAATGGAGCGAAGTACAAGTTCAAGGGGAATTGCCATGTGCACGTCATTCTCATTCAATGGCAGCATATGGGACTCGATTATTTGTATTTGGGGGATATGATGGCCAAAAGGCTCTAGGGGACCTGTATAGTTTTGATGTGAAAACATGTCTTTGGAAGAAAGAAAAGATGATTGGAGGACCAGCTGCAAAATTTTCTCATTCTATGTTTATTTATAAGAAATATCTCGGGATCATTGGGGGCTGCCCTGTTAGTCAACAGAACCAGAGATTATCATTACTCAATTTGGAATCTCATTTGTGGAAACATATTACTATCAGTTCTATTGGTGAAGGCCTGTTTGTTCGTAGTACGGCAAATATTGTTGATAATGACCTTATAATGATTGGTGGTGGTGCAGCCTGTTATGCATTTGGAACAAAGTTCAGTGAACCAGTGAAACTAGATCTGTTACCTTTGATATCACTAATAGAAAGTCCCATGCATTTACACGAGGAAAATAAGCATGCCATTTATCAAGAGGAAGAAACGATGAGAGAAATGAACATTTCCTCTTGTTTTCCACAGAACGAAGTGGAACCAGTAAATAACGGAAGCTTTCATCAGAATTCAGAGGGTAGAGATTCTGGAATTGCTAGAAGTCAGATGGTTGCTTCCCATTGGGTTATTCGGCTTAAAAGGAAAGATGCGAAAATGGCAAAGGATATGCTGAAAAAGTTTGGATGGTTAGATCTTGGGAGAAAGGTCCATTCACAGGATGATGGAAAGGATATCTGTTTCCCTGTCACAGAAAACTTTTGCTCTTTATTCAACCAGAGAAATAGCCTGGGAGATGTTCCTGAATCTGTTTGTCAAGAGGGAACACCAATGAAAGATACCTGCATTTCAACAGCGTTGAATATTCTGATTGAATGTGGAGCAACTATACTAGCTGATGAAATCATCAGAGTTAAAAAAGCTTCACATTCTCCATTCAAAGTGATGACGGAAGCTGTAGCCTCTCTGTTAAGTGACCGAGGTCTGCCGTTGCAACTTTTAGAGGAGTTACCTTCAAGGTTTCATTTTATGTTATTTTCCACTTCGTTTATCTGAGAATAATGAATTAATTGTTGTTTTCTAAGTTTTCAATATAAGGTGACAAGTTAACATCCTTCCTCTCATTAGATGGGAACGACTTGGTGATATTGTTGTGCTTCCTATAACATCCTTCAAGGACTCAGCATGGGACTTGATTGGCCAGGAGCTTTGGTTTATGGTCGCAAAATCCCTCGGGGCTCATCGCCTTGCTCGACAAGTAAGTTAGTGATAGTGTATTACTTAAACTATAGGTAGGAGTATTATGCGTGCTTTTAGTTACTGGTATTTTAGACAAAAATAGCTTATGCATACCTAACTATTAGTGTAAGATGTGACCCAAATGACATTCCTTTTGTATGTCACTCATTTGTCGTAATTCCATTATTGGTTGAGTGCTAGGAAATTTTTGGGATTTGAGAAGTATGTTCCCTGTTACGGTGTTACCTTGTTCAAATTATTCTTTTTTGTAATGGACTCAACAACAACAACAACAACATGCCCAGTATTATCTCACAATGTGAATAATTTCAATTTTGAGCTCTGGTTACCGAGGGCGTGGCTTTTGTTTACTTCTGATGAGAAACAAAAGTAGCTTCTTTCATCTCTTCTTTCTTTTTTATTTGGTTTAAGGAGGGGGGAAGAGATGAATGTTCACTCTAAATATGTGCTCTCTAAAATTGCTTAAGCTTCTAGATGAGTTGGTTGCACAATTCAAAATGGTACTAGAGCAGTAAAAAGTCCTAGATTCGAGTTTCACCCCTACCCATTATAAAAATGGACTTCCGCTTGCATGTTTCATGAAAAAGAATCATACCCGCATGAAAAGAGGCGTGTTAAAGCCACAATTAAGCAAATAAAAGTGTCATCTCTTATAGCTTAGGTTTTAGATGAGTTGGTTAGATAATTCAACAACTATGACAAGTGGGTATCAAGTGATAAGTTACTTTCTTTTAACTGTTTGGTATATGAGAGGTCTCGTCAACTAATTGTGTACAAGTAGAAAGGTATATGATTTCAAGAAACTTAAAATTATTTTTGGTGATATTTAATTTATAATTGATGGAGTAGCATATTTAATATGTCTAGTCCTCTTTCAGAACTTCTGTAACACCGTGAATAGCCTCTCAGATTCTTGAAGTGTTAGCGGTGTCATAGCATTATTTCCTGCTCCTGGGGTGACTTCTTATGAGCTCAGCTTAATTTATCCTGAAAACTGCCATTCTAGGTAGTAGTTGAAGCACCGACTAAAGGTCTACTTGCTTTTCCAAAGTTAGAAATGTTCCACGGCCATTCTAGTTGATTGCTTTCGTTGCATATGTTGTTAATGGTGTGCGCTTAATTATTTTAGGGGCGAATTGCACCAACTGGTACGAGGGACAGTACTTTGGAGATGCTTGTTGGGGATGACGGTTGGGTCAACCATCGAGAAAATGGTATTCTTTATTCTTTTGATGCTACTAAGTGCATGTTCTCATGGGGCAATCTCTCTGAGAAGCTTCGAATGGGCCACTTTGACTGCAAAGATGAAGTTATAGTAGATTTGTTTGCTGGTATTGGATACTTTGTCCTACCCTTCTTAGTGAGGTGATTCTTTGTTGCTTTTATCTCCTTTTCACTTTCTTTATGTAAAATCATTTCAATCTCTGCCTTCAGTTCGGCTGTATAAACCTCGAGCAAAAACAGAGTTGGATATTCAATTGGTGTTAATTTAAGCCTTATTTATAAATTTTTTTTCACTTTTCGCATCTCAAGGTGATTTTACGTGTACATGATTTGCACGAGGCAGTAGATATGTTATGGTCATGATGCAATCCATTGATTGGTCTTAATGCCTAAAATTCCAGAATTGCTAATCATACCTTTGTTCTTTCCTTGATATCATGTCAGAGATTTATTGTATTTGTAATGTACTTTGTTAGGGCCAAAGCCAAGCTCGTGTATGCTTGTGAATGGAACCCCCACGCAGTTGAGGCACTTCGTCGTAACCTTGAAGCCAATCTTGTTGCTGATCGTTGTGTATTACTCGAAGGAGATAATAGAATTACAGCACCAAAAGTATGCAACTTCAATCGTTGCCAATGCCACCTTTTTTCTTAGTTTTGTTAATATCTTTATGCTTGTAAATATATCTATCAGCTAACTTGTCTTGTCGGTTGATTTTTTTTACAAAAAAGAAAGAAATTGCTTCACTTGCTTAGTTTGATTCTTGTGTTCAATCCCTATTGTTCACTTTTGCAGGGTGTAGCTGATAGAGTATGTCTCGGTCTCATTCCCATAAGCGAGGGTAGTTGGGGTACTGCTGTCAGAGCATTAAGGTATGTATATCTCGAAAATGTTATGAATGTGGTTTAGAATCTCGTTTTTCCCTTAATAAATTGACTGACATAGAAGATTAAGACCTGTGGAAGCTGAAGGGAATGGAAATACTGTGTGATCTCTCTCCTTTATTTAGCTATTCTGTCTCTCGTCCTGCTATCAAACAAATGCGGGGAAAAAAACATTTGCAAATGAAATTCAAGCGAAATCCTCTTCCTTTTTAGTTTTAAAATTCTCTCTTTTCTAATAACTGCATGAAAATTAGGGAACAACAACAAAAACTTTTGTTGAATGTAGTGCCTGGCATATTCTTTCATAGCACGCAATAAGCCTTCCTCGATCTGCTAGTCTCCTGTTGATTTAATCTCTAACCTAATGTGTGACATGCAGAGACAAGGGTGGTATATTGCACATCCATGGCAATGTCAAAGATTCTGAAGAAACTGTCTGGACAAACTATGTTTCCGAGTCAATCCAAGAAATTACTAGATCTGAAGGTATAGTTTTTCCGACTTTATATCAACAGGATTATGTTACATTCTTGCTGTTAAGCCTTGGCTAGAAACTTGGAGAAGTAAATCACATCGAGATAGCTAATCGAACATTTCACTGTTAACAGGTCACTACTGGGAGGTATCAGTAGAACACGTCGAGAGGGTGAAATGGTATGCGCCCCATATCCGCCATCTTGTTGCAGATGTGAGATGCAAGCAGATTGAGACATAAGTTTTTGAGTTCATAAATCCCATTTGAAGGTTGCTGCAAACAGTAGCTGCTGAGGGTTCTGTTCAATTCATTATTTAATCTATTTCTGGCATGTGGACTATGAAATGTTATCCAGATTGACTATCTTAGATGAAATAGGGGAAATATATTAGTGATGTTATGTCAAGGGTGCTTAGTAATTACTAGCATTTTTTGGGGGTGAATTTTGTATTATTTGGGGAACTTTATGTGATTAAAGAAATTGAATCAAATATGTGCTCCATTGAAAAAAGATAATTATGTGATTAAAGAATTATAATATGTTGCGAACAAGGTGTAAATCTGTTAATGTATAAATATAATTATGATTTATTATCCTTATTGCCGATTTGTTATCTACTTGGAATTTTAGTTCTATAATACGCGGAAAAAAAGAGGAAATACTATTTTAGGCTGAAGTCAGTTATAACTTATAAGGTTGGTTTCCGAGACCAAGTTGATTTAGAAAAACCAAGAAGTAAAGCCGAATATGTTTGGGTTTAGCTTTAGCCCTATAAATACCAATGCCTATACCAATTCCTCATCATTCACTTCTTTGGAACTTTTTTTTTCAAATCTTCTCCGAAAAACTTTCTCATGGCTTCATCTTCAACAATACCTGCAACAGAGAATAAGGTTTTGATCTTGAAGAGTAGCGATGGCGATGAGTTCCAACTAGAAGAATCCATCGCCATCGGGTCTGTAACAATCAAGAACATGGTAGAAGATGATTGTGCGTCCAACACCATACCGCTACCCAACGTTGACACTGAAGCCCTAGTCAAAATTATTGAGTATCTCAAAAAGCATGCAGAAATCTCGGGTTCAGACGAAGAAGAAGAAATCAAGAAAACAAAAATCAAGGACTTTGATAAGGAATTCGTTAGCGTTAAGATGCAAAAACTCTTCAACATCATATTGGCTGCGAATTTCCTTGACATTAAGGCTTTGCTCGATCTTTGTGCTCAGGCTATTGCTGATAAGATCAAGAACAAGTCGCACGTGGCTGTTCGAAAAATTTTCAATGTTGAATGTGATTACACTAAGGAGGAAGAAGAGGCCGTTCGAAAAGAAAATGCATGGGCCTTTGAAGGAGAAGAGTTCGATGAATCCCTTGACTAGACTTAATTATGTCTTCGTTTATGTAATCTTTAGGGTTTTTTGGTTATGTTTTAACATATTAGGTGTTTCCTTTTATTTTTCTATATGAATTTTTGTCCTAATAATTTCGGTTTCATTACCCTACTTATATGGGATTTTATTAGAAAACTTATTGCCTATAAACTCAACACTTCGTTGTGTATCCATTCGTTATGAATTTTTGTTTGTTATATTTCAAAATCAAAAGGTCAAGGACAAGTCAATATATATGTACAAATGAAGCTTATAACAGTGATTGATGACAATCTACTGCTCTCTATTTGCTTGCAATTTCGGCTGTTAGCATTTAGTTTAGAAGTAAAAGTAGATATCATTTTTCACACAATTCAAACACAAGTAAAAAGATATGGCACCTCGATTTTTTTTCTTTTTCTTCAGAACATATACGACGCCAATTTTTCTTTTTAATTATAACTGCTAAACCAAAGTTGGGTTCTATCTGCCATTATTCAAAAAGGAGGACTAGTGCACAAAATATCCTAAGCTCCTACAAGCATCTAAATCCTAGCTTACCAAGAAATTGGCTTTATCATATCCAAATTTAACACTAGATAATTGCATCTTGTCTAATTGTCAAAGTACATTTGAGACTCATCTAAACAACATGTTTAGTGGAGTACAATTTTTGTAAGGTTAACCATTTGTTGTTAATTATAAAGATTTACCAATAATTATATTAGAAATCACCTGACTGGATAAGTATATTTTTACACAGTATATAGAATTTAAAGTAGATTGAGAAATATAGTTGTTGAAAAATCTCATATATGGTTATTTTTAGGGCTGTACATGGACCGGGTTGGTTCGATTTTTATCAAAATCAAACCAAACCAACTATATTGGTTTGGATTGGTTCGGTTTTGTCAGGTTTTTCGGGTTTTTTTGTTACATGAATATTATTTCAATCTTACTTTATTAAATTATAGATAAAACTTTGATAAGTGAATATATGTTTAGTAAATATGGAAAAAAATTGACAAAGATGATCTATTAAAATATTCTAATAAGAGAATTTTTTATTAATACATGATAGTTATTTTCGTAGTCGTCTAACAATAATTTTTCGTTAATTTACGCTTTCAAGGTTAATACATGAGAGGATCCCAATTATTTCTACATTTTCTAAATAAAATTCACTATAAAGTCTTAAAAATATAAATAAAATTTATATATTTATATATCGATTTGGTTCGGGTTTTTTTTACTCAATACCAAACCAAGTCAAACCAAACCTAGTCGGTTTTTTAATCGATTTGATTTGATTTTTCGGTTTGGTGCGATTTTTCGGTTCAGTTTGAACACCCCTGGTTATTTTACAACAATTCATTCAAAATGATACTTCCTTGATGACACTTGATATCCGTAATAAAATAAAACCGTTTGATGAAAGATATGCTAAAACCTTTTCATGAAATAAAATAAAAAATTCAAGAAAAACAACAGGTGTATAACCCCGAATAACTAGCTGGTTTGTGTGGAATTAACACCAAGCTGATCTATTGACACTTAATGTGTCAAAACAAAATTGATAATTGGTGAGTAGTGTATAAACGAGATTATATTTAAGCCATTGCCGTCACATATATCTGATTGTTTCTTAATCATTATCAAATGATAGCTACTTCATTCAAATAAATCAATCGAACCAACATGAAAACAAAAGATAGCTATAGTATACTGAACATATCAAAGGTTTTCTGGAACTGAATATTTTCAACCATCCTTAAGTAAGAAATTATTTATGATTTTCCTTTTATTAGCTTAACTTTATCTTTTTCCAAAATTCAACTGATATTAGCTTGATCGATACGAGAAAGAGATCTATTATGATTAATTCATATATCACTCGAACCAACACGAAGACAAAATAGCTATAAATAGCATATAAATGATCGAATGCAAAGTTTTCAAGGAATAGATAAATACTATCAAATACCCTTTACTATATTATATCGTTTCTACCTTTTTCTTTAGCATAAAGCTTTATTTAAAAAATGAAACAGATATCCACCAAATCGATCGGTACGAAAGAAATCATTTCTATATGATTATTCAGATCAAATATAAATGTTCCCTTCACTACCATAAAACCCTAGTTGATGGTATCATCAAGATCACCTTCAAAGGCCCCAGGAGTTTCCCTCCGAAACTCTGCCTCTTCTCGGGGGTGAAATCACTTTCAATTCTAAATATCTTCCGAACGGCCTTAACGCTCTTGTCCTTTATTCTGTCAGCCACAGCCTGGCAACAGAATTCCAGCAAACCATTGATTTTCAAATAATTTACTGCCACTGTTATGTCAAGCAGTTCCCCTAAGACAACGTTCGCAAACTCTTTCTCGAAATTCTTGAAGTCTTCTTTGTTCGAGGGAGTGAGCTCTGCATGCTTCTTGAGGTATTCAATAATTTTAACCAGCGTCTTGCTTTTGATGCTAGGCAATGGGATGCTGGAAACACGTTCCTCTTTCACCATGTTCTTGAGAAGTTCAGATTGTAATTATAAGACCAAAGATTCCTCAAGATAAAATTCTTCATTGTCACCGCTCTTCAATGTCAATATCTTCTTCTCTCCCGTTGTTGATGATGTTGATAAGAACTGGTCAACCTTTTTATTTCTTCTTCTTGGATGAAACATTTGGGAACCAACTGATGTATAAATAATGGTACAAGAGATTTTCTTAATCGGATCATACTTAAAGGATATGGAAGGAATTCTTTCTGTCATAATTTTCTTGCTAGAATTATCTTTACTTGTAATCTGTTTATGGATCACAATATAAGTATGTGATTGAATACTATAAGTCAATCACGTTCATTTAATTCATTTCCTGATTTTTATGCTATAAAAGATATTTAAACTTAATTTATTAATAAGCAGTTCTTTGGACTCAAATCCCGCATAGGGTCATCAACAACAAATATCAGCTTCGATATTTGAGGTTAAAATTAAAAATGTACTAGATAGTGGGAAATAATTACATGTTTATATATTACTACGTACTTATAAACTAGGATGACATTTTGCTCAATCTACCAATCTTATGATCTAAAAGAAAATTTATGAGAAAAGAAATTTTCTATATTCTTTTGTTTTAAATTACTAACCAAATAGTAATTGATAATAATGATGCAAAAATTCCTTAATCAGATTAACACTAAATGATATCATGGAAGGAAATCCCTCTGGTATAAATTTCTTCCTTAAAATATCTTTGCTAATTAAAAATTTGCATGCATCAAATGTAATTTAGTCATCAATTGATGAATACTATAACTATCTTATTTTTTTTTTTTTTTATATATAAAATGAAACATGATAGTGCGTTTTATGAATCTCTTCTTGTTATTTCACTACAATGTTATGACTAAGGTAGTTCACGGGATGAAAGTTCTGTATTCTTGTAGCATAGAGGACATGCATATTTCCAAGCAAAGGCTATAAAGCTAGAAAAAGACCATTCTTTCAAATCAGGATTTTATTAAAGCTAGAAAAAGACCATTCTTTCAAATCAGGATTTTATTGATCTTAATATATAATATATTTGAATATTGTATTAAGGGAAAGCGAAACCAATCACAGTAAGGGAAAGGCACCATAAGAAGTACCCGACAATGTGCAGATGAGTTAATCGGTCTTGCTCTGCCAAAAATATTCCTCCTCATTCTTTTATTTATTGACTTTTGGGGTGAGAAGCATTCAATTCCATGTTTTAAGAATGATTAGGGTTAAAGAAAAGATTTCGGCTAGATAGTAAGCAATGAGCAGGGCGGAGCTAGAGAGCCGAGTGTGGGTTCGGCCGAACCCAGTAGCTTTGGTTCGAACCATGTATTTGTCTAAAAAAATTCATTGAATATGTTCAAATTATTAATTTAGAACCCAATAACTTAAAATAATTAAAATCTTGAACCTATGAGCTTGAAGTCTGCTAGATCACAATAGATATCTTTCAATAAAGATAAGTCACCGCCTTCTTCCCTAAATATTGCTTGATAGAACTCTAGTATGCTCTATTCTTGAAATTATGCACATCCATGTATAATAGAAATGCACACAGATATAAGCAGACGCTTTAATTAATGTTCATCTTTTGATTGATAAATATATTATTTAATCACTTTTTTATGATTGGGTGACTATTAATTATATTAAATATTCTAGTTTGACCACTTTAGTGATTATTTTGAATACATACATTAGTTATTGGTTCATGTAAGTAGCATTTTCAGCTGTTAATGCACCATCTTGATTGAATTATCGCTACATTACTTGCCTTGGCTAATTGGAGGCAGTCGCAGATACGATTTTCATTATTACAAACGATTTCACCCCAGAGAAAGAGAAAACGATTTTATAGGAACATGTGATAGTAGGCTATATAGACGCTATTTACCCTCTAAATATATCATACTTTATTGATGTTTTAAAGGCTAAATGATAACAAAATACTCTAATTGGTGTTCTTTTGTTTTGCAGGGACTAATCCAAGTTAAGAAGAGACTATGAAGTGTTTTTGAGTCAATAATGTGGATATAAGGCCAATCAAGAAGAACCCAAACGAAAATAAGCAAGAAAGATGCAAAGGGGGATTGGACAAGAGGCCACCGCGATGGCGGTCGACCGCGGCTGGAACACGGTAGGCCAAAAGATTGAGGCAGAATAGTTGCGATTCTCCGCGGTCACGCCGCGTTCTGCCGCAGTCGCGGTCGACTGTATAATCGCCTAGAAATTTTGGGACTAAAGTGTAAATCGGGGGAAACTTATCCTAACCCTTTATAAACTCAACAAACTCGCCCAAACAAAGGTTAAGCTTGTTTTTAGACTGAATTGGAGGCAAGAACAAGTGTGAGAAGAGCAATCACCCATTAGAGTTTTTCAATCTTCTATTGTTATTTTTATTTGCACATTATGAATACTTTTGTGGTTTTATCTTGCTTTGCTATGAGTAGCTAAATATTTAGTCTAGGGTTTTGATGGAACCTGTTGAAGGATGAACTTCGTGTTATGTTAATACAATTTGCCCGGTTTAATTTTTATTTGTTCAACTACGTTCTTGTTGTAGTTAATTGATAGGATCCTCAATTAGCTGTGCCTATTTACTATGTATTACTCGGGAGAGAGTGCATACTTAGGTAATTGTTGAACAACACCACTCCCAAAGTATACGAGGGATCAATAACCGAGGGTTTAAAGGCGGGATTAGGGATAACGAAGCCTTGAGTGCGATCTAAAGTGAGCTGTAATAAAAGCTAGCTAGCGTAACTCGGGAGATTGCGTTTAGTAAATTATCGTAATTACTCGGGAGAGATTTACGGTAGTAAGAGCGCTCATGATCGATAGAGACGATTAGGCAAACCTATGCGAAACATAACAGGAAAGGATTCCATCAATAGGGGAAATCATAACCTTAGATCCTTCTCTTATTTGCATACAACCCAGTCATAGCTAGCTTTTAGTTTACTTGCTTTCATTCAGTTATAGTTAGTAAAACATCTCCATTTGTTATTCAAAATATCTAGGAAGTTTATTACAAAGAATTTAGTAAGTCTAACAAGAGTAGTTGGTAGGTTAATTCACTGTGGATTCGATTCTGGGCTTAATACTCGAATTTATATTTGCAGCGACTGCTTTGTCTTTCTATAAGGCATAGTTGGGAGTGATCAAATTTTGGCACCGTTGCCAGGAAATTAACGGTGTTATCAATTATAGTTAAAAGAAATACAAAAATTCTTAGTATAGTCAGTTTTCTTTATTTTCAATCTATACATTGAAATTTTAACGTTTGTTGACTTGGTTGTACATGTGCATGCCTAAAAACGCATCGAGAACTAGTGAAGTATTTGAAGAATTATTAGATCCCGAAAAATTTTTCAAGGCCTTGAATCGGGCCAACAGGAAAAACAAACAACAACAATCAACTGAACAACTCGAACCAGACATGGGGGATAACGTGGTAGACCCAGCTACGCCATTAGCGCCAGTGGCACCTCTTGTGCCAGAGGCTTTTCTATATGACTAGGCACAACCCACAACAGAGAACTTGGCCACAACAATTTTAGTCCCGTAGATATAGGCCGAGTCATTTCAAATCACGAACAACATGTTGCACTTGTTGCAAAACAAGGGACTATTTTCGGGGTCATACATTGAGGATCCGCAACAACATTTGAAGAATTTCCTGTCCATCTACAAAACTCAAAGGCAGCCTCACGTAACTTAGGAAGCAATAAAACGTTGTTGTTTCCATTCTCAATGACATGAGCTGCCCACACTTGGCTAAACTCACTCCCCATTAATTCCATAACGACTTGGGAGGAGTTAGTCAAGCAATTTGTGAATAAGTTTTTCCACCCAACAAGACTGCTCAGCAAATTGATGAAATTTTGAGCTTCAAACAGAAATCAATGGAGACACTGCAAGAAACGTGGGAATGATTCAAAGAGATGTTGGTTATATATTCGCACCACGATATTCCAGATCAGATATTGGGGCAATAATTTTACATGGGTTTGATAGATAGTGTGAAGGCTAATGTTGATGCTTTAGCTGCTGGAGCGTTCTTGAGCAAAACATGGAGAGAAAGCCAGAACCTGCTTGACAAGATGACACAGAATTCGGGGTGGACAACCAGGAATGTACCTATCACTCCAGTAGTTCACTCAGTGCCCTTAGATCTATCCAATACTTTTGCTGAAAATATGGCCACATTAATGACACAGATGAGTATACTCACCAAAAAAGTGGAAGAGTCAGGGCAGAAGCAGCAGATATACATTGTTGATACTACTAATGGGGGCTTATGCACATCTTGCATTAGTTAGCCAATTGGTAACCAGTGGAATGCAGAAAGTGAGCATCATCATTACCCTGAGGATATGAATTATGTGTTTAATTATGGGGGCCAGAGATAGGGTGGTCAGAATTGGGGCCAACAAAATCAACCATATAGGCTAGTCCAGCCACAACTCAACAATGGAAATATGGGAGGTATGCGACCTCACAATATTATGGTGCCTTACCAAAGGCCACATAGATATAACAATCAAAATCAGCAGTAAGGTTATCATTCTCCTCAGTAGCAACATGGTGGAAGACATGAAGATGGGTTTGCCATACTCGAGGCAATGATGCAGCAGGTTATTGGGTCAAATGCAAAAATAAGTGAAAGGGTAGATGCACATGAGTCAGCTATAAAGAATATTGAAGTGCAAATGGGCCAGATTTAGATGTCTTTGAATAATCGTCCGCATGGGACATTGCCTGCAGACACTCAAATAAATCCAAAAGATCAAGGCCCGAAGCAGCTGATGGTAGTGAGTCTACGTAATGGCAGAGACTTAGACTTAGAGCAAGATAGAGCTCGAGAAAGCAGACAAGCTGAGATACTTGTACCAGTGCCCATTGAGCTAGATGATGCAATGAAGCTGATAGAGGTGATAGTACAGCCTGCCCAGGAAGAAACCAACACACAGATT